TGATGAATCAAAAATGTTGCAAAAGAATGATTTATTTTCGTATCTTTACAGAAAGAAAATAAACAAACAACTCAAGATGAAGGCTAGTAAGCTGTTGCAGAAGTTTCCTCTGTTTTTATGAGTCTAATTTAAACTGTAATATCTCCGTGAATACTTATACAATTTATTCAAAATAAGCGCCTGTTGAATCAGTGCGTAGAGCGTCAACTTTTCATCACACGTGACAACACGATCAACGATCTCCACGTTGAGTAGGTATGCGAGGTTTGTACAGCTGGTAAAGTCGAAGTAACTGATATAGTAATTCTTAAAGCTATCGGCGAACTCGAAGGCAAAAAAAACCAATACAAAGAAATGATGCCGCTACGAATTAATCCACGTGGACTGAAGAACTTACGGCAAGATCTTAAGATAAAGCTCATTTTTCTATAAGATTCACACACTAAGTATTCAATGTGCCCAGAGAAACTGAACACACCAGTAAAAATGATCCCGAAATCTTTCATCTCATTGATTCTCTGTAAATTGGTATGATTAATGAAATAGTCCTTGATAGTAGGTGACTTTCGTGTGAAACTCATTATTTTGCATTTAGCTTCGTTGAGAGATAGGTCAGATACTGAAAAGTAAGTAAATAGATTATTGAGATCATCTTGAAGCATATCAGAATCTTTTTAGCTTTTTTAGCTTGAGATCATTGGCATATAGGAAATATTGAGTCCCGATATACCGATAAATTAACAATAACAAATAACGCGAAAAGAAGAGGTCCCAAAATCGAGTCCTGCGGAACTCCCGAAGTAGCGGTGAATTTGAAAGAAGATACGTTGTTGAACTGTACGTACTATATTCTTTCGGATAGATAGCAGTGAAAGAAATCAACAGTGTTGTTTGAGAAACCGAATGCTTTTAATTTCAGAATCAAAACCTCGCGGTTAACTCTGTTGAATGCCTTGGCCAAGTCAGTGTATATAACGTCTATTTGATAGCCATTTTTTATTCCATCCGTAACAAAGTTACTAAATGCGCATAAATTGGTAATGGTAGATTTATTACGAATAAAGCCACGCTGTTGGTCGATTATTACTGAGTCCACGTGATTGTATACTCGATTATATATTACCCGTTCAAATATCTTCGACAAAGCTAGTAAAACTGTTATGGGTCTGTAGTTTATTATATTGTTCTTATTGCCGCTTTTGTGTATGAGGGCATCAACTCCGCCAATTTTGAGAAAGCTTGGAAAACGATTTTCTTTCAGAGAAAGATTGAATATCAAGGTTAGTGCTTGCTTCAACAAGTCACAGTAAGCCTTGAAAAAGTAGGCTGGAATGCCATCGATTCCAATGGCTGCTTTGGGTTTCAGTGCCTTAATATTATTTTAAACCTCTTGTACCTTAATATCAGCAATTTCAGTTGATATTAAAATTACCACTAGAACCTCGAAATATTGGTTTTGCACTTTGTTTATTTTTGTTAGAGGAGTGTGTATGTGAGTTCTTTGTAGTTATGTCAAAAACATAACTGTTGAAATATGTTTTGTTCAACCAAAGTTGTCTACCAAATAATAATGAATTTGAAGAGGCAGTATTTTAATTCATATACATATTACGTTCAACTAAAAATTACATTTACAGAGTACTTTTAAATGATAGCCGACTACTCATGCAAACAGAATGTTGAATTTTTCATTAAACGAGCCCAATTTGACTAGCTGCTAGCTGCTCAGTGAAGAACTATCGGAAGAAATTATCAGATGCGACTTCAATTTTCCTTTAGATTGTCCAAAATATGAACAGAAAGTCATAATTTCTCCAATGTATGATCAAATCCGGCAAATCTAATGAAATGTCTTCGTATCTGGCAACGCAGCGCCGCTGACCCTTTTCCCCTTCTTCGGCGGACCTGCCGGCGACACAGCTGAGTTCTGTGGCGTCACGCGAGGGAATTTCACATTCGTCATGAGGCAGAATGTCGCAACGTCGGTCGTCTGGAATGGTGGGCGATTGGCTAGGAAAACGGCCAAAGTGTGAAATATGGGCGGCACGCATATCATAGGTTTATTTCTGTTCGTTTTCGTCAGGTTGGCGACTACCAGAAATCACATGGAGGACATTTCATATATTTATTTAGATCATCCAGTTCAAAATTCAATTGAGTAATAATAATAATAGCAGTGACGGCTCCTGCATTGGAGAACAGGGGAGGCTTAAGTTATATAGACTATATACACACAGAAAAGCCCGCCGGAGGCGCGAAAATTTGTATGTTTGCATGCTTTGCTTAGTACTAAAGCTAGGGATGGGCATGACAATGCGTAAAAAGTGCATGTGGAGATATGGACTTTGGACTTTATTTTAGTTTGTAAACCATTTAAATGGCCGGCCATGACGGCAGCCCCATCATAGGTTTGCCTAAAGTTATAGATGTCACACGTACGAATTAAAAAATTGAACAAATCGTCAGCTGTGCGCCCAGATGAAACATCATGAGAACTCATAAAACGTTATATCACATTACCATCTTTGACATATCTAAAAACGATTGAAAGTTGTGATGTACACGTAATGTCGGTAGTTTCATCAATTTCCCATGCAAAAAAAGAAACACTTTCAATCTCCTTGCTTATATTTTCCTTAATAATGTATGCCACACTGTCTATAATTCCATTTGAAAAATCAAAGAAGCCGCTACTTTATAGTAGAAGCGACAACGCCGCTTCGTCTGAAATATTTTAGGCGTGTAGGTCATATTGATTTTTATGCATACTGTGAAATTTTCAGGTTGATCCGTTAAATAGTTTGTCAGAAACGGCTAATTAACGCTCATCATGAAAAGCCCTGTATAGTTTCGAAACATGTACGGATTGATGGTTTTACCTCGAGACCCTCGATATTGTCTCCAACGATCCTCAGTAAACCCCTTATTGTTGATTTGTTCTTCTGAAAACCATATTGGGTGTTCGATATAAACTTATTTTTTTCGTCAGCCTGTCTTTCAATAATACCTCCACTATTTTTGAAAAAATATTTTTGATTGAAGTTACTCGAAAGTTGCTCAGAATATTGGGATCATCTTTTTTAAACATTGGTAAGACTCTTGATGTTTTGGATACGTCAAAAAAAACACTGATTGATTAGGAGTACTAATGGTTCAAGCAGTAGTTCCGATGTCTCCTGAAAGCTCAAATGAATAAATAAATGTTTGTTGAGAAAAATGAAAATTCACCTTATTATTTGAACAAACCTCGTTTAAGAGAACCCGAATTTAGGCTTGATGCCATGGGCACTTGTTTCCAAGTACCTTCGTCAGCAGTCTCTTCACCGACTTCATTTCCTAATCAATCAAAAACACTTCAAGTCTGTGCCCGGTGAAATAAATCACTGTATGCTTAGTGGATTATTTCTCACTATTGGCACAACAGGCCGGTTTTCATGCAACTGGGTTTCGGCATTCTGCCAATATCGTTTCAGCGATTCTTACTTCAGAGTATACTTAAATATAAGAGGAAATATAATTACGCAGAAAAAATTATCACCGTCTGCACGTAATTATAGAAATCCTGGATGACGATTGGTCAATCATTGCCGGACCAGTGTAGAAATCATCAGCTGAAAGCGAATGGCTTACTCATACTTTAACACTCGCTTCAATAATTCTTAGAAGAATTGTCATAGAAATTTCACATCATGGAATTCCGATTTTCCTGAGAAATAAATTCAGGTCATGTTTTTTCGAGGAGAGTAACAAGGATTCGATTTTGCAACGTTTCGTATGACTCGTTTATCAGTGATGAGTTTTTGTGATTAAATAATTGGTACTAGAGAGATCACAGAATGCAGGATCATCGGAATTGTCGTTTTTTAGTGTCCTTCACCGAGCTCAAAATATTAGATCCAGCCAAGTTGAAATCAGAAAGGAAGTATACGATGGAATTGGCCGATACTTGATGAAAATCCATAACTAAGAGTAATATAGCTGCAAGAGTTCTGGCTTATTCCTTGTGAAAAAACACGTGCAAATTTGAGCAGGTCCAATCTGACCATTTTTGGACCTTAGGCCCAGTTCACACGGAAGGGACAAAAGTCTGCGCCTAGTCCCTGCCAGCCGTCCATTTTGTGTGAATTGGGCCTTAAACGTTCAGAGCCCACTCCTCCACTTTTGCCGTCATTCAGTCGACCAATCAGAAGCTACATTCACTCGTTGCGCCCTCTGGAGGATGTTTGTTGCGATACACCTCAGATATTTTCAATATTATCCCGATTGCATGACCAACACCCATTACATTTTGGCTGCACCGCGCTGATGAGGCCAATAGCCAGAAACACGTGTCCGCGGTTTGCCCCTATTTTTTGAGTGTTGTGTCCACGAGTTATTTCATTCTTGATTTGTATCATACAAACTCGATAGTTATTGTGATTCGTATATAATCAGAAATGATTATTGAATAACAAAATTAGTTAGCTTCGTAACTATTTTATTAAAGGGGAACTGCTGGAAAGTAGGGTGCACTATATAGTTTACTTGAACTATAAATCTAGCTATGCCTCTGAGAGGCATGAACGATGAAGAGGATGGTAACTGTCCACTTCCAAATTTACCAGGGAGTACAATCGGCTTGGTTTGGATAAATTCGCCAAGTGTTGAAAACTACATATAATATACCAGAAGGGAACGGGAACCTCAATGTTTTTTTTTCATGCAGCTGGAAAATGATTAAAAATAATGATTGTACTATCACGATGTTCACTACACGAGTTCCTCGATGTTATTTAGGCTGATCTACTGCGAATCTAATACGCAGAGGCAGAGCTAGATTTGCCAAGCGGTATCTACCTTTTTGGTAATTCCCAAATGATCTTTCCCAATGCTATGGATGTTGTTTTATCTATAATATAGTGTATTAAACCAGTCTTAATGTGTAAAGAACCTCACAAACGTTTCAAGACATTTTATACAACGAAAAAAAAATAACCTTAGAAATTCGATCAAGAACTTACTTGTCACATTTGGTGAAAACCGAATGACTGGGGCTGGAATGGATAGGAGAAAGTGAGCAGCCAGGGTTTAGGGTTGTCTGGAGGCTCTCCGGGCTGAGGGAGGTTCCTGCCGTCGAGCATAGCACCTCCTGTGGGGTGCTTGGAGCCGAACGAGCCCCCGCGCTCCCAAAGTTTCCAGAAGACCTGAAAAAAAAATAGAAAGGATGATATATTTTATAGAACCGGTAGGAGAAGAAAATAGTGGATATAGGTTGATCAAGAATACTTGAAATTTTGTGAAGGAGCAAGCATAGATACAGAATCTACTGTTGCCTAGGATATTGATGAAGAAGGATATTATTCAATAATAGAAATAATCAAATCCAATGTGAGTCGCTACTTTCGCACAGGCACTGCTCTGAGATCGCCTTAAAGATTTTCCTATAGTGCTTGTGTTTCGCCCAAAAAAAAAAAATATACAGCTTGTGAAATCTAAGAAGCGACTTTAAAGTCTCGGCTTAGGGCCTCCCCTAAGATGTGCGTTCGTTAGGAGACTGTGTGAGAGAGACAGAGAGATGACAAGCTGTATACTTCAATTCAATCAAGTGATCTATCGTCGCGTCGTTCTACATTCATTTCAGTAATAGGATCATGTACTGAATTCGTACAAGTGTATCTGTATTATAGTTAGCTTGGAAAATACATTCAACTCTCTCACATTCCCATTTAATCCACAATAGGTATAAGTTTCCCGGATATTTGATAAACAAAGGAATTACGAATTGGCGTGTCATCACTTTGCGGGCTTCGAAGAAATGAACACTTTCTATCATAAACACCTGGCTAAAACAATCGATAGTATCATCACGATGATGATTCGAAAATTAAATAGCGTTTCAGTGTATGGAGGCAGGTGGTTATCAGTTTGAGAGCTTTTGAACAACTAGATAAGTAAGTGAACACAATAAAAAAAATACATTTCTTCCTAAAAGCTCTATACACAGGGTATACCTTGAATGATGTCATTAACTTCCAGTGGTGATTTCTTGTCATATTTTATGAAAAATATATTCATGTGGACCTGTACCCTAACTTGCTTTGTTTCCGAGTAACGGGGTGTTAAAGTTTTACTTAAAACATTGTAGTTTATTGTATTTCAATGAATCAATCAATCAAACAATTTATTCAATTCACATACATATTCTAGTCTATAATAGATGTTAGCATATCTTTAATAATAATTACAGTAGATTAAAAAAAAAATAAAAAACAAATAAATAAGTGGTGGTGTTCAGTTCTTGGGAAACGCCTAAGCAAAGCTTTTGTTGCGTATTTTCCCAGATCTGAACACAACCATGAATGTGAGAAANAAAATACTATTCATGTAGCAAGTGTTTCCTTAATTATCCAATCCAATTTTCTTCGCAAGATTTTCAGGACAACTGTCTGCTCTTCAAAGCGGTCTAAGGGGTGGTTTACGCTTGATCTAAGGGCTGATCATTTTATACTGATTTTCAATTTTTAGACAATGGTGAAGTATCATCCATTTCATTTCAAACAAATATATACTTTTGTCATTGAAGTTACCTTTCAAAACACTTTTTATCACCACTTTGATCTAGCTTTTCCTGTCTGTCCATTTGCAAACGAAATTTAACCACTGATAATTGGATAAGATCTTAGATAAAACAATATCCAACCTAGTTCGCGATCTCTACCATCTTTATATTGAAACAAAGAGCGAATTAATATACATTAAATACAGTGTACAACAACGAAAACTTAACAGAGCCGTTTTTGAATATAAAAAGTAAGATTTTTAAAAAAAGCTCGGACACGTCGATTTCTAATTGAAGGGGACACCTTTCAGACTAATCAGATTTTTTGTAGTAGGCACCCCCTCGGAGGGGTGCGTCCGACGACCCTTATTTAGATAGGGAAAGTAGGTCGAGTGGCACCATGTTTTAAAGGTCTTTCGAATACCTTTACATCTCTGTTGAAAGAAAATTTTTGTAACGATTAGTTTTCGAGATAATTTGAAGATTTAAAGGTATTTTTATTGAGTTCAACTCTTTTTAAAATAAATCAAATTGTTTTTAAGGTACAATTTACGTTCAGAACTTTCATAATGTACTTTGTTCAATTAGTAACTTTTGCAAAAAACACTACCACAGCTTTACAAGGAACTGTGATCATTATTCCGATCAAATGGCAATAAATACTAGAGGAAGAACCAACCTCAGTGTACCAAAACACACATTTTATGAGGAGGGACCCCACTATAAAGCCATTAAGGCACATCAGTCACTCCCAACTGAAATAAAAAATACTCAGTACCTGAGAAAATTCAGACTCCCAACGATAGAGTATCTGAAAGAAAAAATTACTACAGCTTCAACAGCTGGTGATGGGTCTTGATGTAGTTGTCTCATAAACTTTCAAACTACAATAATTTTTAGTAGATGTATTTATGCGTACTTGTATTTAATTTATTTATAGTCTATTTCAAAAGAGTGTAGAGTAATAAATCATGAAGTGTCATAAAATTTGCCTGAATTTCGTTGTCGTCCATGGGCGTAGGCAAATCTTAGGATTATTAAACTTAATAATTAAAGTAAATTAAAAATTACAGACATAGATAATAATAAAAGGCCATTTTTGGGAAGTAATTTGGTCTAAAACTAAGTACCTACATGTATTTAGGTAAGTAAAATTTCTTAAAAAAAGATTAAGATTAATTTTAGTGGTTCTTGTAAACTTATTTAATATGCAATTTGGGTTCATATACTTGAGCATGATTTCTCAAAAAAGGGTTAACACTTAGTTCCGAGGTGCCATGTCATTATAATAATCCCTTTTTGACCCTGCCCACCAATCATGCAATACCTATTAAAC